GAGGAATGAGCAGGGCGGCGGGGACGAAACCAGCTGCTCGCAGCAGATGTCGTACCCCCCCCACTTCCCTATCTTCGAGGGGCCCAGGGATATGCAAATAAATAAACAAAAATCCAAGGATCCCCCATACTTTCCAATATTTTCAGGGTGTTCGTCTTCTCCCCACTTCCCATATTCCCTTATGTGATGCTTTTTCCTCCTGGATCCTGTTCTTTCGTGCGGCCCGACTGCTCCCCAGGCCTTGTAAGAGGGGGGGCTTTCAACACGCTGTCCAGGACAGCTTTGCTTTCCTCGTGGCTGAGGGTGATCGCGCTCTCCTTGCTCCCTGTTCCAAGCGTGATGTGGGTATGGCACCAGCGAATCCGCACTGCTGGGGAAACAAAAACCAATCGCCCAATCGCGCGCTCACAACAATGTCCACTGCTGGGAGCATTGGAGTAAGAGGGCCAAACGGACGGGGAAGACGTGGGCGGGGCTGGAAGTCAGTAAGTACGGGATGAGGCGGTGTGTGAGGAGGTTTAGAATAGGATTCATCACTGATATGTTCTTAATGTATGGTCCACGGCATCATACATACGTGACGTTTCTATCCGCCACCGTGCCCTCGGCACGTTGGGGCGTGTCACGATGCTCCTTTGTTGTCTGGTCAGGTACGGCAGGTTCGTGTCGTGCCGCCCTCGGCGTTGGTCTTTGACAACGCGGGGATCGTTCAGCCTTGAAACGGTCGGCCGTTTCCGAAACCTCAGATCGTTCAGCATCGATCGATTCCGGGCCGGCGGCGGCGTTCACAACGTTGAACGCCGGCGGCGGGGTCGCCGTTGATCGATACGACGCGAACCGATAATACAGGTAGTGTTTTCTAGAGCTGACCCTCCTCTCGACATACGCGCCTTTCGAAACCCAGACACTCCGAATATGTTCTCCGGCGTTCTTTTGGCCAGAAGGATACTACACGACAGCTGAGGCAATCCTGCATTTAGGTCGGGCATGTCCCCCTACAAGCTGACTATGGACGAACAATGAAAAAGAGTCACATAGATTCACTCAAGAGTGGTTAAAATATCTCCTTCGGACTATTTTTCACTGTGTTTGAACTTTCCTCCTGTAGATGGACAGGCCCGGCTTAATCCTAGATGACCCCAAGATGCTTGCAAACTGCTCCAAGACATTCGCCTCTCAAGCGATGGGGGTGGGCGACAGGAGGATCATGAAGGGAACGAGCAAAATGCGGAGGAGGAGGAGGAAGAGGAGGAGGAGGAGGAGGACAGGACAGGACATAACAGGACATCCGCATGAGGGGGTCAACGTCGAAACGCCCGCTATGGAGCCGTGGGGTTCGACTTGCAAGATCCCCTGCGAGTGATATCTGCCGCCGACCCGGACTTCTCATCGGGCTGGCACGGGGCGTACCCCGATGATCTATGGAGCGAACTCCGAGGAGGCCCCGTAAGGGAGGCTGGCCTTCTTGCGAGTGCGAGTCCCTACGGGTCATTGCGGGGGGAACAGCTGCTCGCCCTCTAGCGTGCCCACTCCTTGGGGAACGCGCTGGGCGAGCAGGGCTCCCAAGCAGAGGGAGGAAGGCGACACGACCACTCCACAACGACAAGGCGGAGGAAGAGGAGGAGGAGGAGGAAGAGTAGGAGGAGGACGTGGAGGAGGAGAGAGGTGGGAAGAGTTCCCTCCTGAGCGAGGCGGCGATCCACCGCCCACCCCGCGGTCGTCCCATTCCCTGTAAATGGCCCGAACACCACCCCATAACGAAATATTCCAGTGCGGGACGTGATGACCAAATCCGCTTGACTGGCACAAGCACCACCCCAGAGCAGAGACTCCATTCCGAGATATGAGGCTCAGTCCATGTAGGTGGCCCGAGCACAACCCCAAAAGCAAAGACTCGAATTCGGAAAACGAAGTCCCAGTCCCTGTGAGTGGCCCAGCGCCCAAGCATCACCCCCGTAAGCAAAGAGACGCCAATTTGGAGAGAAGACCAGTCCATGTGAGTGGCCCTGACACCACCCCGTAAGCAACGGCACTCCAGTTCAACAGAAGACGACACACCCCTGTATGCAAAAAGACTCCACTCCAAAAGGTGATGTCCCAGTCTGAAGCCACAACCCTTTTCACAATTCGATCCGTGCCTGTTGCTCTCACAACATACATTCCGATTGCCGTGTGCCATATGGGCGCCCAATCTCGCGAACGTTCCGTGCGTCCACTGCGGCCATCTCGTCAGAAGGATACACAGCAGAGCGCAGCGAGTCTCCACATGCAGCAGTAAAACTCTACCAGTGCGCCAATGTGAGCATGATGCAAGACCAAAACATATCGACCAATGAACAGCTCGAGGGGCCACGAGTAACGGCCACACATATCGAAACGTGGACGCATATCCTCTTAACCCTCAGGCCCCGAATCATGAAGATGACCTCCCGCACCACTCTCGGCGGACTGGAAGCATGCGAGATCCCGAGCATCATCGTCGGCTACCTCGCCAGACCAGCCCGCATGCGAGCCGAGCTACGAATATCAAGTCAGACCGGGGTTCCTGCATTGCACAAACATTCAGAGTTGCCAAGTCAGCACACTGTCAGGAGTCTCCTCCTCGCCATACTCGTACATCATAGAATCCACCATGCCACTTGGAGCGTCGTCAAGCGGAGCAAGCACCTCATCCACACAAGACCGCACAGCGGGCAGCAAATGCAGCTTGACTAGGCCAAGCTTGCTCAACACAACATCCGCAGGATCCTCATCTTCGAGAAAACGTGATCTACTGCCGCTTTACTGTGGACAATTCCCCCCCGCCTCTTCCTCTGGAACCCGGGGTCCCCCCCCTCGAAAATCCCCCTCCCGCCCCCCCCCTCCCCGTGAATCGGGGGAGCTCCGGACATACCCGCCGCACGCGTCGGGAGCAGCAGCTTTCACAAGGACCTTTATCCCACAAAGTGGGATAACGCATGTTTAATGCAAGCGAAATTCGTGACATGTTCGTTGCTTCGTGTTCGCTGCCGTGCTGTGCGGTGCGTGAGGTATAGCATAGCACGGCATGAAACGGACAACGCGGGAGCCAACAGTAGAACCGTGGTGCTGCCCCTATGTCAGCACGCGTAGTTACAAGTTCCCGTGGTGCTGCCCCTATGTCAGCACGCGTAGTTACAAGTTCCCGTGGTGCTGCCTGCCCCTATGTCTGAACATGTGTCTCAAGATCTCTGGGGGCTTAGCGGCAACGCCGCCTCCAGGGATGGGTTGCAATGTATTTTGCACTCTAGGTCAGCAGCTTCAGGCCGACTTTCGCCGTAACGCTGCACTTTGGCTCAAGATGCGGAGTCTGGAGGAAAAAGACTCTTCCGCCCCAGGCGTGGTGAAGCGGAGGGCGGAGCCTCAGCGGCAACGCAGGCTCCTCCTTCTCCTAGCCACGTCAGTGGGCACCCTCTTACGTTTGCACCTCCGCTACCCTCACAATCCCAATACTCGACACTCATTCCCCATCCCGCCAGCACTGGCACTTCATATTCTCAAGCTCCTGAGCCAGGGGACCGAGGTATCGGAATTGGTGGAACTCGTCCAGACCACAGTGGGCCCGACCAGCCGGACCCGAAGCAATAAACAGAAGAAGTGAACCCTTGGGGTGGACAATACCCTGCGCACTACCACTACCCAGTGGGCGACCACGAGGCGCTCACAAGGCTCTCCCCCCCCTTCCCCTGGCCCCCCCCCCCGTCCCACGACCCCTTCCTCTCCCCCCCCCTCCAAGAAACTGGGGGGGCCATTACAGGTTCGACCCCCCCCCTCCAGAAAACGAAGGGGGGGGTCACTACCGGTTCGAACCCCACCCCCCCACCGCCGGCAAACGACTCCCGGGTCCCCCACTGTCCGCACCACATCCCCCACCGCTGTCCGCGGCACCACCGTCCCTACTGTCCCCACCGGTGCCCCCACCGCTGTCGCTCTGTCCCCACCGTCCCCGCCACTGTTCCCACCACGGTCCCACTCTCCCCCATTTCCCCACGGTCCCCACCACTGTCCCCACTGTCCCCGCCGCTGTCCCACTGTCCCACTGTCCACGCCGCTGTCCCACCGAGCTGTCCCAGTGTTCCCACACTGTCCCAACTGTCCCCACCACTGTCCCCATCGTACCCCTGTCCCATTGTCCCACCACTGTCCTCACCACCGCCCTCACCAGTGTCCTCACCACCACCGTCCCCGCGACTTCCCGGTGTCCCCGCTGTCCCCACCACTGTCCAACTGTCCCCACCACCACCGTCCCCACCACCGTCCCACTGTCCCCGCCACTGTCCCAGTGTCCCCACTGTTCCCACCGGTGCCCCCACCAGCGTCTCACTGTCCCCACTGTCCCCACCATTGTCCCACCACGGTTCCACTTTCTCCATTGTCCCCACTGCCCCCACCACTGTCCCACTGTCCCCACTGTTCCCACCACTGTCCCACTGTCCCCACTGTCCCTGCCGCTGTTCCACTGTGCTGTCCCACTGTCCACACTGTCCCCACCACTGTCCCGCCGTCCCAACTGTCGTCACCACTGTCCCCAATGTACCACTTTCACCCAACTGTCCTCACCACTTCCTTCACCATTGTCCCCTTCACCACCCCACCACAGTCCCACTGTCTCCACTGTCCCCACCACTGTCCCGCTGTCCCTTCACCACTGTCCCCATCACCACCGTCCCCACCACTGTCCTACTTCCCCAACCGCTGTCCCCACACCACTGTCCCCGCCGCCGCCACCGCCGTCCCAGTGTTCCTACCACTGTCCCAGTCCCGAGGAGCGGGAATCGTTTGCCAGCGGCGAGGGGGGGGGAGGGCTTTTCGAACCGGTAGTTACCCCCCCCTTTTTCGTTATGGACCGGGGGGGGGGGAAGGGGGGGATTCGAACCGACAGTGACCCCCCCCGGTTTTCGAAGGGGGGGGAGACGGGTTGGGAACCCCCAGTGATCCCCCCCGGTTTTCTGCCACCAGCGGTAGAACACGCTCTTTGTTGTCTTCATACGATCATCCCATGCACAATATCACTTCGCGTTCCCTCCGGAGGCCAGGCGCCGAGAAGCGCGCAGCTATCGGAGCCAGGAACAACAACCGACGAGCAAGAGAGCACAGGTGCGTCGACGCTGTACTAGACTTGAGGAGTCTGCGGAAGTGGTACGCAATGTCGTGGACGCTTCGGCTGGTACGAAGAACCCCCTAGATCGCCACCGCCTCCGTGCCACGGGCCGTAACCGCCATGTCCATTCCCCTGGCCAAGGTCATCACCCCGACGCTGCCCAGAACTGCCTTGGCCACCACCAGGAGCATCGCCACGGGGGTCAGCAGGTCTATCACCTCCACCATCAGCACCGTTCCTCGAGTCTGGGCCAGCCAGGAGCAGAACGCCACAACCCAATCCCCTGGCGCCCAGGGTGTCCATGTCCGCGGTCCACTGTCACATGCGTCCGCAAGAGGCCCTCGATGCAGTTCAGGATGTTCAGCAGCACGTCTCAGATGGTCGCGCTGGTGGCACGCCCCATCGAATCCGTGACGACCCTTCACCGTGGACCTCCCCTGCAACGAGAACGAGCCGAGCGTGATGCGGCTGCAGGCGCCCTGCAGGAAGTGCACCCGAACCCACTGGGGCCGCCCCACCAGCACCATCGCCGCCAGGGGGAGGTGGGAGCACGTGCTCCCCGGAAGCTGCAGGGGCAGGCCGGTGTCCGAGCCAAAGCAGCTAGGAGGGAGGAGGGAGGAGGAGGGAGGAGGGAGGAGGGGGAGGGGGAGGAGGAGGAGGAGGAGGAGGAGGAGGAGGAGGAGGAGGAGGAGGAGGAGGAGGAGGAGGAGGAGGAGGAGGAGGATGACGAGAAGAACAGCAGAGCGATGGCGAGGGGGGCGAGGGACAGGAGGAGGAGGACCATGAAGAGAACCAGCACGCAGAGGAGGAGGAGGAGGAGGAGAAAGGAAATGCATCGCTGTGAAAGCCGGGAAAAACAGCAGGGAACAAGCGGCACTAACTTGAAGCAAATGGCGGCACGCACAGGAGGGGACACGGCGGGTTCGTGCCGTGACGTCGGCGATGGTCTCTGACACCCTATGGATCGTTCAATCTTGAACGATCGCGGTCTCCCGATCCTGCGGATCGTTCGATGTCGTCAGATTCCGCGCCGCTGGCGGCGTTCAACCTTTCACGGTGCCAAGGTCGCGGCCGCGCCGACAGGACACGAACCTACCGCATGGCGACGGGGCGGCCTTCCAGGCCCCGAGAGGCGCGCAATGGGCAGGCTCCAAGGGGCCGACCGCCTCAGAGAAAAACCCTGCCCTCTTCGAGGGGGCAACCCCTGCGCACCCCCGCCCTCGCCCCCTCTTGCTGGAAGCCAGCTGGTGTCCCAGCAGGTCGGAGGATCGCGCCGCAAAGGCGATGCACCGGCGGCGTCGGGAGGGAGAATGTCTGGCCCAAGATCGGGCCGCATCGCCGATGCGTCCGCGATGCCTCGCGATTCTCCGACCCTGTTGGCTCACACGCATGCGGGCGGCCTGCATTTGCGCGCCACCGGAGGCGGTTGAGACAACAGATCGCTTCGGGGATCAGAGGTCGCGAGCTGTATGCCTGCACCCGTCCCGGCCGTGCCCGTCCTGGGCCCCAGAGAAATCGTGGAGAGTGACGATGAAGAAAGGGGGGGAGGAGGGGGAGGAGAAGGAGGAAGGGGGGGGGGGAGGGGGAGGGGGAGGAGGAGGAGGAGGAGGAGGAGGAGGAGGAGGACACCACAGTGAGGAACGATGAGGTAAACCTAGCAGCCTGCAGCTGGAACGGATCTTGGGATCCAATGTCTTAGGCATCGCCCCGGACGCTGCTGCGTGACGGCCCCCCTGGCCCCCCCTTGCGGCCACACGGGCAATCGAAACATGGCATGTGAATGAAGATCAAGAGCTCCGTCGCCGGCCGCAGCGAGATGTCCCAAACAAAAAACTCCGATGTGGAAAGGCCATGAACCCCGATCAGAACTAGAATTGCCATTCACCCATGTGCCGGCTGCAGTCGTCATCCTAAACTACGCCGACCCCAGGCCCAGGATCGGCCTGACCAGAGGACCGCTGCAAGAGCATAGCTTGCGCTCTGCGATCGCGGCCCTCCCTCCGACCGAAGCCGATACCTCCGCCCGCGACCCAGCTGCGCGTCGCCGCGCTGGGAGGCCCCCGAAGGACAACGGCGCAGCTAAGACGCGGGCAGGGCGCCGCCGGCACTGGCTCGGCCAGGCGCGAGCGGATGGGGGTTGGGAGGACTGGTGAGCGGAGGGGCCCGACGGCGAGAAAGGCGCCGTCCCGAGTTGCTCGGCCAGGTGCCGCAAGCGGGTGGAGCATGGAGTCGGCGGCGAGCTGTAGGGCCCCGCGCCGAGATGTGGAGCGAGAAGTCCGCCCGTGCAAAGCACAGGAACAGGGAGGGAGGAGGGAGTGAGAGAGAGAGTGAGAAAGAAAGAACTAAAGAAAGAAAGAAAGGAAATAAAGAGCTAAAGAACTAAAGAAAGAAAGAAAGAACTAAAGAAAGAACTAAAGAAAGAGAGAGTGAGAAAAAAAGAAAGAAAGAAAGAACTAAAGAAAGAAAGGGACCCCGCTCACTTCTTGGGCAGCCGCGTCGCGCGCGCCTCCTGCGAAAAGCACGGCCGGAGCCGGAGAGTAGCGGCAAAGCCCGCCCCTCATCGCTCTGCGGTACTTCTCTTCCTCATCCTTCCTCCTAACTCCTCCCTCCTCCATCGATTTCCTTCTGAATAACTCCTCCCTATCGCACCCCGAGGCCAGTCGGAAGGGCGGGCCCAGCGTTTCGCCTCAGATTTCCGTATCACTCAAGAGCCTGAAGCTTAGAAACTGACAGCAGTTTCACACATTGAGGGTGGCCGCTTCCAACATGTGGCTCTCGCCTCAGCCCCGCGCACATTCGACTAAAATGTTGGACGACTGTTACCGCTTGAGGGCGGGCCGTTTTCAAAATGTGGCTATCGTTTTAGCGCCGCGCACAGTTGTTTCAAGCATTTGTCAGATGTTCAATGGTTCCCATCTTTTACGTAGCAACAATTGCGTTTAGGAGCGATTCAGGATCGTCCGGGCGCTGCAGTTACGTTTATTCGCGGCGTTGCAATCCAGGAATGGTGTTCTGACAAGGTTCAGGATCGTCAAGACGCAACAGTCAGTTTGACGCGTGACGTCAGGGTCAAAAAAATCTGTTTGGGCACGCGTCAAGAATTTCACACGGTTGTCTCCTAACGGAGCACCTCCCTCAGTGGAAACGAACCCTTGTAGGGGCCTATGAAGAGGGAGCTTGGAGGGAAATTGAATTCCAACATCGTTGATGGAGATTGGGCTACCACTGGTCCCCTAAAACGAATACTCGCGCAGACAGCGTCATGGGAAGTGAATGTTTGGAGCGCCGAGAGGTACACGACTGAAGGAGGGAATGGGCAAACAAAGGTGATACACACGAAAGCCACCAGAGAGCACCAACAAAGGCCCCACCTCCAACAAACTGTGATTACTGGTATGCTCTTCCCTACCTTAACATAGAAGGGGGGCCAGCACGGTACCTCAACAGGATATCAGGGTACAGTTACGACAATGACAATGCATGGGACAACTATCCTCCAGTTCGAGAAGTGCGCCGAGAGAGAGAGAGAGAGAGAGAGAGAACAGGATTGAGTAGGAGAATTGGGCCCCCCCAGCAGAAGTTTGGAAAGCAGAGGCCTCCTGCTTCTCCCCCCTCTCCTTTTTAACTTGTCGTGTCGTCCTCTCTTCCCCCCTCGCTTGGGAGCCCTGCTCGCCCAGCGCGTCCCCTACCATGGGGCACGCGGAAAGTCCAGCAGCTGCTCCCCCCGCACTGCCCCGCAGGGACTCGTGCTCACGAGGCAGCGAGCCTCTCTAACGAGGCCACCTCGGAGCTCACCCCTTGAAGCTTCGAGGTATGCCCCCTGCCGGCCCTGGTGAGAAAGAAGTCAGGGCTGTTGCACAACCAGATCGCAGGGGACTTTGCAGACAAGACGCGCGCCAGGCACCGGTCTAGGTATGTTGACGTTGACTCGCTTATGCGGATGTCCTGTCTTGTCCTCCTCCTCCTCCTCCTCCTCCTCCTCCTCCGCCTCCTCCATACTCCTCCATACTCCTCCTCCTCCTCCTCCTCCTCCTCCTCCTCCTCCTCCTCCTCCTCCTCCCCGTTTTCATCCTCCTCCCCCCCAAAAATACAAAAATGCATGCTTGGGGGCAGGGGGCCCATCGGGACGGCAGGGAGCCCATAAGCGGTTGGCGCCTCCTGTCTCGGAAGGGCACGAACAGAGTCGGCGACTGGCCGCGGGACTGGCGGAGAGCGGCGGAGGGTACCTGAGCGCCCAGGTAAGACGAAAACAGGACCAGGTCAAACCGAGACTCTCTGAGATAAAGGAAAGTTGCCGTAGAACCCCGCAGATGCGGATAAGAATAAGGGGGCGGTGGGGACGTTGGCACTCTGCGGGGCTCCGGAGAGGCTCCTCGCAGGTGCCACAGTTTCACAAATTGTATAACGAGCCCGCCGCAGGCGCCGAGATTTTCGTTAAACCGATGTGGGTGGGTCGCGGCTGGGTCGCGGGTGGGTCGCGGGTGGGTCGCGGGTGGGTCGCGAGATGGGTCGCGGGTGGGTCGCGGATGGGTCGCGGGGTGGGTCGTGGATGGGTCGCGGGTGGGTCGCGTGGGTCGCGGATGGGTCGCGGGGTGGGTCGCGGGGTGGGTCGCAGGGTGGGTCGCGGGTGGGTCACGGGTGGGTCGCGGATTGGTCGCGGGTGGGTCGCGGGTGGGTCGCGGGATGGGTCGCGGGTGGGCCGCGGGGTGGGTCGCGGGGTGGGTCGCGGGGTGGGTCGCGGGGTGGGACGACGACCACAAACAAACAATGCAACAAGCAGAATCCTCACCACGGAGCCTCGCTTCGGCCACGGACCCAGGGACAATGAATGACCGTTCAGCCCCCTCACTCTGACCCTGTGACGTACCTAAAACCTGCCAGCACAATGCAGGCGCCGTCATCTGTCGTGCGAGCAACATGGGATGCGCCCGCGTGGCACGATTCACCGGACAACAACAGAAGGACGGGGAGCGAAGACCCAGGCTTGAGGAGGAAATGACGGCGGGAACGAAGGGCAGGAGAAAAACGCGTGGGCGGCCGAACCGTCAGCGCGGCACCAGCTGAGGGAAGGTGGCAGGGGCAGAGGAAGACGACGAAAGTGACGGGAGGAGACCGAAGAGTCTTGCTTGTGTCGGTAGTACGCTACAGATGCAGCGTTGCCTGCGCCATGTCGCCGCGGCGCTCGTCGAACATGATGAAACCTGCTTATAGTTAGTGCAAGAAGCGAGCGAGGCTTAGCTCGGTCGCCAGCTTCTCTGTTTCCTTCCAGCCGCCCCCCGAACTCGAAACAACCCCCAGGTAACAGAGACGGCGTCACTCCGCTGAACCCAAGGATGGCGAGGTCTCCTGGTGGTCTGCGTAAGACTTCATTCAGGTGGACCCCCCCGCAACCCTCGAAAGCGGCGAGCATTTCGCAGATAGCAGCCCCTCAGGGATGGCGAGGTCTAATCCGAATCTGTGTGGTGCCTCACTCCGCTGGACCCCCAGCAACCCTCACAAGTGGCGACAGTTTCGCATATCGCAGCCCCCCGGGGAAAAGGCGAGGTCTAATCTGAACCTGGGCGGTGCCTTACTCCGCTAGACCCCCAGCAGCCCTCGAAAGTGGCGACAATTTCGCATATCGCACCCCCCCGGGGAAAAGGCGAGATCTAGTTAGTCTGGATCAGGGTGGTGCCCCATTCCGCAGGACCCCCAGCAAACCTCGAGAGTGGCAACCATTTCGCAGATCGCAGCCCCCAAGGAAGGGCGAGGTCTAATCTGAATCTGGGTGGTGCTTCACTCCGCTGGACCCCCAGCAAACCTCGAAAGTGGCGACAGCTTCGCAGATCGCAGACCCCCCCGGGGATGGCGAAGTCTAATCTGAATATGGGCGGTGCCTCACTCCGCTAGACCCCCCAGCAGCCCTCGGAAGGGCAACGGTTTCTCAGACCGCAGCCTCCCCAGGAACGGCGAGGTTTAATCGGAATTTGGGTCGTGCCTTACTCCGCTGGACACCCCAGCAGCCCTCGAAAGTGGCGACAATTTCGCAGATCACAGCCCCCTCCCCAGGGATGGCGAGGTGAGGTCGAGTCTGAATCTTGGTGGTGCCTCACTCCGCTGGATCCCCCGAAACCCTCGAAAATGCCGACAGTTTCGCATATCGCAGCCCCCAAGAGAGAGGAGGAGGGAAGAGAGGAGGAGGAGGAGGGAGGCGGGGAGAGGCGGACCTAGCAGTGCTGTATTCGAAACGAGTACTCAACGCAGGAGGGTGGAGAAGATACAATAAGTACCCTGCGACGTACCCAACCCAGTTGTATCAAGTGGCAAGAGGAGTTAGCCCAAACTTGCCAGGACGATGAGGGTGCAGGCGCCGTTATATATGTTGTGCAAGCTACACGGGATGCTCTCGCGTGGCACGGTTCACAGAAAAACAACAGAGCGACGAGGAGATAGGGCCCAGGCTTGAGGAGGACATGAAGCGGGAACGAAGGGCAGGAGGAGGACGCGCGAGGGGCCGAATCGTCATCGCGAGAGCAGCGGAGGGAAGGTGGCAAGGGCCAGAGGACCACGACGAAAGTGACGGGAGGAGACCGAAGAGTGCTGCTTGTTCGGTGCAGCGCTGGCGATGCAGCGCTGCCTGTGCCATGTCGCCGCGGCGCTCGAAAAGGATCCAGCCTGCTTGCAGCCAGTGCAGGAAGCGTGCGAGGCCCAGCTCGCTCGCCAGCAGCTCTGCCTCGCGCCTGCTCGCCAGCAAAGTCTGCGGGAGCAGCACGCTCGAAGGCGAGCTGCGGGGTCTGCGGGCGGCCCGCGGGCCAGGAAATCCAAGCCCGGGTCGCAGCCCCCCTGGGGATGGCGAGAACAAATTTGAACCTGGGTAGGAAGTCGCTCCGCTGGACCGCCCAGCAGCCCTCGAAACTGGCGGCAAGTTCGCAGATCGCGGCCCCCAAGGCGAGGCGAGGTCGAATCTGAATCCGTGTGAGACGTCCCTCCGCTGGGCCCCCCAGCGGCCCTCGAAAGTGGCAGTTTCGCAGATCGCAGCCCCCCAGAGATGGCGAAGTCTGATTTGAATCTGCGTGGGGCGTCACTCCGCTGACCCCCCAGCAGTTCTCGAAAGTGACGGCAATGTTGCAGATCGCAGCTCCCCAAGGATGGCGAGGTCAAATCTGAATATGCGTGGGACGTCCCTCCGCTGGATCCCCCCGCAGCCCTCGAAAGTGGCGACAGTTTTGCAGGTCGCAGCCCCCCAAGGATGGCGAGGTCTGATTCGAATCTGCGTGGGACGTCACCCCTCTGCACCCCAGCAGCCCTCGAAAGTGGCGACAGCTTCGCAGATCGCCCCCCCCCCCCCCCCCCCCAAAGATGGCGTGGTCAACTCTGAATCTGGGTAGGGCGTCACTCCGCTGGATCCCCAGCAGCCCTCCAAAGTGGCGACAATTTCGCAGATCGCAGCCCCCCCCCCAGGGATGGCGAGGTGTAGTCTGAATCTGCGTGGGACGTCACTCCGCTGGACCCCCAAGCAGCCCTCGA